AGAGGCAGCAGAATGGCACAGGAGCAAAGCTGTAGTCTGAGATGACCAAGTGTCTGTGAAGTCAACGTGTGTATCGGTCAGGCAGTGTGAGGATCTGCCTCTCTATTTATGTAACAATTACAACAGCAGAAGCACCCAATGTAATTAAATCAAGTTCCACCAGCAATTTCCATTACCCAGATGTTATATCTGACCTTGCTTCCCAAGTCTGGAGGCTTATGTGCTCTGACATACCTAATTCCCCTTGGTGTGCTAGTTTTTAGCTGGATTTGTGCTTCGAAATATATGGTGTGATTTTTAGAGAGATGTTTGCAGGCAATGAGGACAGACTACTTTTGAGCAGATGTTTATGTGTATGTCATTGACCTTTACAATTCTGAACTTTATTCATTGAGTTAATTATTTGTTTAAACAGTCCTTTTTTAACTTACAAGTACAGTTCCAGCACTTTTCTTAGATTTTCATATTATTAACAACATGAGGAAATATTTTTCTCTTTCGGCACATGTTTTAGAAATCATTAACTATTAATACTGATAATAACAATATTCTGATGATAGAAATAACATACAGAAAGCAATTAAGTATTACAGCACAGTTGTGAAATTTCAGCTGAGAATTATATAAGAAGTATTTCTTCTTAAGTTGATCTGCATGCAGGTTTAGCTTTTCAGTCTTATGTGGTGATGTTATTTTGTAGAAGACTGATACACCACTGAATGCCACATCCCATTTGCTGTTATAGAGGACTTTTGCTTGCAACAAGCATCCAATTTTGTTTATTTTTTCTGTTTAAGACTTGACCCCATTTTATACCCTCAAGCTTAGTATATAGAAACAACTAAACGGCAAGAAACTCAACCACTTTTTTTGGCCACCGTAGTGGATTACAGATTGCCACTTCAGTGATGTTTCCAACCCTTATTGTGACAAATCGATATCAGTATTCAGCCACCTTATTCCCATGACAAGTTCTAATGAAATTTTCTTTGCCAAGAGTAATGGTGCCTGCTACTGGGTAGTGACTGGCCCATTCATTCAAATATTCAAGTCCTGCGATGTCCCCAGGAACCCCTGGTAAGAAGAAAGAAAAACAAAACAGAATGGAGAGTTCTCAAGGGACCTAGGGAGATTGTAACTTGTGTGGTATCACATTTTGGGGAGACTGACATCTTTCAGCAAAAGCCTAACCAAAACTCTGGAAAAATGAGGGAGCTGTGTTTGTTGCCTGCTTAACGTGAATAGAGAATCAAGCTCTGACAGTGAATCAGCATACTGAGTGCTGAACCATTCCTGTACCATTTCCACGTCTGGAAAGGGAATTTAACGCAGTCAAAAATAGGGTGTAAAAGCTCATTATGAATTTTTATTTTTGGTGCGCTTTTCTTAGAAAGGTATATATTTATTACAGTATATTTTTATAACGCAGTCAAAAATAGGGTGTAAAAGCTCACTTATGGATTTTTATTTTTGGTGTGCTTTTCTTAGAAAAGTATATATTTATTACAGTATATTTTTTAAAAAAAATTGCTTGTGGATGAATGTTTCTGGACATACACCTTAGGTTTTTGTTTGTTGTCCAAAGCAGCAGGTGTGGGAGGAGCAGATGGTAATCGTAGCCTTTGGCTCTCTGGGTGCTGGTTGAACACCACCCATCTGGGACACGCCATTCTGGCTCTCCAGACTGCCAGCTTCAGACTCTGGCACGTAAATACTTGTCTGGAGTCGTGGCTGTTACAAAGACGTGGCAGGTACTACCGTCTTTGATCAGCTGGTTCCAGCAAAGATGACAGAAAACTCCTTTGTGGGTTTCACTTGTGCCAAGGGGCAAAAGACGACTTCTCTTATGATGCTAGCTTATTATTGTAAGAAAATTCGAAGCAAAATTACCAACTCTATGTGGAATAATTTCATATCACTTGTGAGTTACTACTTCAAGAAATTAAGTAGCTGAATTCAGTAAAAATTACTATACATGCAATACGTCCACCTATGTTTTAACTGTTGAATCAGGTGCTAAGTGCACATATAATTTCAGATCCCTTGGCTTCTGTCTTATATACTGGTTGAGGATCGAACCATTAGTTGCAGCTGCTTGGCACTAAGCCAAATGTTCTTTCTTTTTCCCTGTTCTTTACAAATGGGGAATCATTATGATAACCACAAACAGCAGTGAATTATTAAACGTGTTGGTGAAGTACTCTTGACCTTTTCTTCTGTTCTGTTTACCTGCATTCCATAGTAATGCTTTTGGAACCCATTTAATCAGCTGTGTTGCTGTCAGACACTAGGGCATGATAAGAAACAGAGAAATCATCATGACGAAATCACTACTTAAAACCCAGTAGTGAGATTTGAAGAATAAACAGTGCGAAACATACTCAGAGAAGTGTTTACATTTCAGTGCCCAATTTGCAGAAGCTTTCTTTTCCATACAACAGACTAATTGTGCTTAGAAATGAAAACAAACAAACAAATAATACTATTTTTCCTGTTTATTTCTTTCAAAGTCCTGCTCGGAAGTCTGGACTTGAAGGCCCCTAAGTCTTACCATGCTGCTGCTTTCCTTTAGAACTTCACTTTTTTTTGTATTAATGACTGTGGTGTTGACTCATTGAATGTAATTTGGCTTTTTCTTCCATTTGTGGACCTTCTGGGAAAGTGTAAGGATAACCTGTCATGAAAAAGTGATGAATTAATTGCTTATGGGTCTATGACTACCAAAATTGGGAGATCTAGATATTGAACAATCTGAAAATTCCTTTTGCTCCTCAAACTAGCATGGAAAGAAACACGTAACATTCAAGGTCAGATTGGATGGGGCTCTGAGCAACCTGGTCTAGTTGTCCCTGCTCATTGCAGGGGGATTGGACTACATGTCCTGTAAAGGTCCCTTCCACCCAAGGTATTCTATGGTTTTACGATAGAGAGAGATGTAAATCTGAATAAATGCCTTGCTCAGTTCCAAAGAGCATGCCTCTGGGAATTCTTCCTTATGTTTCCATGAGCTGAAAGGCGATTAGTTGAGATCTGCTGCTGCTAGGCTAAAGAACTGATTTTTCCTTTTAGACATCCTGGTAGTCACTTTTACTCTCTGTAGAAATGTCACAGACACATGCCAGCTGAACTGTCTGCTGTGTTTACAGTGTAAGTGATTTTGAAAGCTTGCTGCTCGGTGCATTTGCCTTTGGACAGAATTCAGCTCTTTCCTGTTTATTTTGACACTTCAAATGTTTTTATCTTGAACTTTCTCATGAATTTTTATTAGGGAAAATTCTTTTGGGAGACGAATTGAAAGAAAAACAGAGACCCAAGTGGCCTGCACACTGAAAGATTAGAGAGAAGTAGCAAAGCCTTTGGGGAGAGATGGGAACTCTGTATCAGGGTGAGCCTCAAAAAGTTATGAAATTTGGCAAAATTGTGAGAAGGGATTCTCTGCATGGTTCCCACTGCTCTTTGATTTTATCATGACTAAAGCTAACTGTTGAGGACTTGAGTTTCCCTTGCTGCTGTTTGTTGCTAACGTTGAAAAGCGATGCTAAAGCTATTAGAGGTAGAGCAGTGGTGATGGACCCAACAGAAGGGAGGCACCTATACAGATGGCAGCAGGAGCAGCCTGTGGAGCTCTTTGCTGATGGACATGCAGATTGTGCCACCGAGAAAACTCACTCAGCTTTGCACTTTTATAAAAATGCAGCCTAGGGATGGAGGTCTCTATGTGATAAAGTAGCGTCTATTAAAACAACAACACGGATTCCAGAACTGACTGAGAAACGTAGGTTTCTGGAGTTTCTGCATTAAGAGAGCAGAGAAAGGTGTTACCTGTACAATGTAACTACCTTATTGGAATTAGACATTTAATTCCCGACAACCTGAACGAACAGTAGTGATCCTAAATCTTTTTCAGTGTCACAATTCCCAACACAGTACAAATTTGTGTGTTGCTTTTTATTTGGCCTGTTTTTTTTGGGTTGTGGGTTTTTCTTTGTTTTGTGGTTTTTTTTTTCTTTTTCTCTCCCCAAAAGGGGCCTGGATCAAGAGGGGAGCTGAGGAGATGCTGATTTTGACCTTGGTAGTAACTGTGCTTGGAGAAGAGAGTTGCAGAGACCATAGGAGGAAGCAAAAAGAAGAGGATGGTCTCTGGGAAAAACTTGAGCTCATGCAGTGAGAGCACTGAGAGGATCAGAGAGCAGAAGGGGAGGGAAGGCAAAAGTGTGATGGACAGAGTTTTCTGGGGGCCAGAGGCCACTGCGAAGAGTTTGCTGTAGCTCATAAAGTGCTGAATTGCCTGAAGCTCAGCTGGAACTAAATAGTTCAGAAAATGCAGCAGGGAAAAGGAAGGCTTGTGTATAAACCACTACTATTTTTGTTCTTCTGGTATAGCAGCATCAAGTTTTCTCTGAAAAAAAAAAAAAAAAATCAAAACACCCAACATAAAAAAAAAAAGGCCCTTACTTGCTGATATTCTAAGTTACACCTGGGTCTTGTTGTCTAATTGTATTTTTAAGTTACAAGCTTTTGGTGTTTATTGAGAGTTCATTAGCTGGGGTCAGTTTCAGCAAATTCACCTCTAAGTGCTGTTTGATTAAAAGCCTGGGCTGAGAAGCGACTGACTATAGATCCAACTTGAGAATTGAAGATTATGTAAGACATTTAAAGTGTGGCTTTTTACAGGTCTCATGCATGTATTTGAGGTAAGCCATCCCTTGTTTAAGATTTATGATTTAAGTAGTCGTCAGTTTAGGATCACAGACCCACTTGCTTAGGTTTAAAGCTAGTCTACAGGAATACAAAATGAATGTGGCCTGTCCCCTGTCACTGTAATAAGTGGAGTAACCTGACAGATTTATACAAATAGTTTGATGCGTTATCACTAATTGCTGGAGAACATATAATGCAAAACCTGGAATCTGGTAGGTCATGTTAATTTTGTCTAAAGATGCTGGGAATGGAAATAACTGAATATTATTTTGAAAATCTTTGTAATTGGTCTTTTTCAGGAAATCTTTAAGATAGAAGGCAACCTTGGAATTCCAAGACAAAAAAGGGCTATTTTGGCAACTCCGATACTAATTCCTGAAAATCAAAGACCACCATTCCCCAGACCTGTTGGCAAGGTAAGTCAGCGATGAACTGCATCAAATTTTGATATTAAGAAATTGATCTGTTTCTCTTAAAGTTTTGTAATGTCCATCATGTTGATAGTAATATCAGAGACGAAATTAAGAAACATAAAACTGAACAGAGAACACTGTTTTACTGTTTATATTGTGTAGACAAACAGAAATGGCTTTGTATTCACGGCAGACTTTAACAGCATACATTCTGGTAAAAAAGCATTAATTAGAGGTGTGAGTTTTCATGCAGCTGCTGTCTTCAGTAGAGGTTGCTGCCTACCTGCGTGTCTCTGTACTAGACTTGGGCTGAAATTTAGGCCAGGAACATTATGAAGAGTATCCTACTGCGTGGTGTGGACTATCTTGTTCTTATTCTCAAGATCTAGAAGGAATTCATAAGGCATTACATGTAAAACCATCTTGTATTCATTCCTTAGTTAATTTCTCGCATCCAAAGAGGAAATAAGTCTTTGCAGGTGTGTTCAGTTTTATTTTTTGTTGTTTGCCAAGGTCTGATAAAGAAGTGGAAGATTTTCCTCATGTTTGCAGGCAACAAGATGAACAAGTGTTCAAATGGACACTTTTATAGAACTTCAGATGCACAGCTTGTACACACAGAAGCTTTAAAACTAAAATACCAATAAATGGTCATTTAGGCATCAGAAGCTGTAATTACAGGAATACATTTTGCTTGTTGTCAGTTTTGAAGCTGAGACCCCTGTGCATCCCTCTGACTTCAGTAGCTGTGTTAATGCCATGGTGGCCCGTGGAGTCTGTTCCTGACTCCCTCCGATACGATCGCTGGAGCTAAAGGCTCAGCTCGAGGGCAGAATTTTACTCTACGATCGATGTGTAATTTAGCCAGCTGGCACCTAATCAGTTACTTCAATAATTAGGAAAGCTTGTTTACCTATCAGTAAAAAGAAAGAATAATCTATGAAGATTTAATTTTCTTCCCTTTCCCCATCAATAATTTATACTGATCTCATAAATTTCCTTAAGTTTTTCTATCTTTCTCAAGTATTTTTTACTGTGTCCTAAACTTTCTAAAGACATTTCTGAACTGTTTCCTTCACATTTCAGTGTTTGAGAATTAATGATCAATAACTAAAGTAAATATTATTGGTTAATATGTAAGCAATAAATAGTTAATTTTTAAGACTTCTGTTGTGCAATTTTAAAGCAGTGAGAGAATTAAAAAGGTTACTTATACACAGATCTACGGTCTTTCTTATTTTTGTTATTGATTTATTTCTCCCTGCTCCCTTCCACCACTATGGCTAGTGGACACTGAATTTTTAGATCTGAGGTAGTTTGAGTTGCTCTCTAGAAGTGCCTTTATAAGTATTTTTGTTGAGAGTTTGGGATGTTAGTCCTGGTAGCTAAGGCTCCTTAAGCAGAATGAAATGAATCTGGTTCTATTCGTACTTCCATGTTTTTCTAGTGTCTTGTCACCTTGATTTGTTATTGTTCCTGAAATGCTAGTGAGGGATCACAAGCTAAGTGCATTAGATGATGTACAAACACAGAAGTGTAAAAGCATCTGGCAGTCTGTTTTTCAAACTCCCTAAGATACCTATCCTCAGCTAATGTTTAAATTATAGGAGCTGCAAATGATCAGCCCCTCGAAATACTTTGAGCTGTCATCAGTTTTAAAAGTCTTTAAATATAATTTTTTTTTTCAGTCTGTTTCTAATTTAGGTATCTAGACATGAGTATTTTGGCTATAGTCTATTGCAAAGCAGTAACACAGAGTGCGTATGTGTCAAGAGAGACAAAAATTTTAGAAATATTTTAAATAATGGAGTGAAATATTCTAGGTCAACTGCAGTAATTTGCAATTGAATGTTTAACAAAGCATAAATAAAAAGGTTTGGAGCCTCAGACATACTGATGGTAGGGAAGAGAGTCTATTGTTCCCTAACTAAAAAATTCAGTAGGAGCTGATGCTGAAAATAAAAGCATTTCTTTTATGTCTTTTTGACATGTCACAGATCTTCGTGAAAGACACCATGAAGTCTTCAGAAATAAAATAGTCTGTACTAATCTAGAGAGCCTTAGACACCCAATTCATGTACTTGTTTCAGATCCTGCACAAACTGTAGAAAAAATTGATCATGTCTTATTTAACTTTAGATGTTTATTGTGAACTGTACGTAGATTCATGAATTTGCAAAAATTCATTTAGTTTCCTACCTCTGTGAGGCACAAGAAACACATTCATTTTCTTTTCTACAATATTTTGGGGCTAATTTTCAGAAGCCTCAACAGGGCTCTACATGGACTCATGAATTTGAATTTCTCTTGAACTTGTACTTTGCTGTCTCTGGTCTGTTGTAATCACTGTGAAGGGACATTGCAGATGTAGTTTGTAGCTGTGATTTCTATGGTGTGCTGGGGAAGCGAGAAGATATCCGTACAGAGAATGGATCATTTGCACGTTGCAATAGAATTTAAAAAATGAGAAGAAGAAAGGAAAGCAGATTCTGAATCAAACTTTTGTCGTGTCAGCCAGCAGTCAGGGCCGAGGACTCGTGCAGGTTTGTGGTGGTGGGAACAGCAGGGTGTGCCTCGTACCACAGGGGCTCGCAAGGACTCACCTTGTCTGCCCAACACTCAACAGTGTCCTCCTGAGCTCCTCTGATGGGCCTTCCCCATCAAATCTCTGAGAGATTGAACCGTGGGGCAGGTTATTTTTTATTCAGACAGAGCAATAAACACAGCAATAAAACCATTTAGGAACAAAGAATTCTAATAATAAGGGGGAGGGGTTGGGCGGGGGGTCAGGGAATAACCACACGTTTTCATGTGTGAAGAAGAATTCCAGTTTTGTTTTACTTTCATCTTTGTTACTGCAATGTTACATTTTCTGCACATCAGGAATGTAAAATTTTCCTGATTGAATGAAACATAGGATAGTGATAACTTCAGATATGACTAGTTTTGTTTGATACCATCATGTGGTCCAGTTTGGATGTCCACATAAAAGTGAGGTTTCCAGGTGCACCCCAAGTGTGTTATTTCCCCTTTTTGTCACCTGCTTTAGCAAATTACCAGGGCAGTTAGCTCATCTGCCCTGGCTGCCTCTGGCTTTCCAACCCGTGCCGCATTGCCTGGAAATGCACAAGGTTGTTTGGAAGTGATTGCAGCAGCGGCCAACAGTTGAGTTGCTTATTAGCACTTAGCTGGGAGCAGGGCAGATGTGCAAAAATAGGAAAGCGGGGGAGAGCAATTAATTACATTTTATTTCGCGATCAGGAAACAATAGCATACACAAAAAAAGATGGGGATTTTAGAGGGCTTTGTTCATTCAGGTTTGGTAGTATAAATCAGGAAGGAGATACTGTACTGGACAAGGGAAAATATTGTTTTAATTACTTAAAAAAATTCAAATTAGCATTTAGGTTAACAAGGAAATAATGTGTAGAGGCTGTTCTCTGTGCTGTTACTGGCTTTCTAGCATACCCATTTTGGGAATGAGATTATTGCCTTGCCATTTGCATACTCTTCATTAGGATATCTCTTAATTAAATATCATAGGCATGCTGTTCTTGTAGGTAGAGGAATCTCACCTTTTAAGCTTTTGCATATTCTCTTTAATTCCCTAGGGGAAATAGTGAGATTAAAATATTTTAATACAATCTTGGTAATATGGGCCTCTGTGACCAGATGGCCCAGGCTACAACTGTTGACTGTTATTGATGTGTTTTGTTTAGGTCTTGCTGATATAGCACAGGGGTATCATATTCAATTTTTAGTCTGTCTCCATATGTTACTTTTCTGGTTTATTTGTCCACATGAAGTCAAATGAAGTACAAAACAGTGGGATGCAGGATTATGTTGTAATTATTGTGGTAGGTTATTCATCACTACGCTACGGAAATGTTTCTGAAAACTAACTTGAGAGTGTTGGTTCTGTGCATCTATTTGGTGACAGTCTCCAGAGACGCTTTAAGTGTGGTGGTGAACTGCACCATGGTACTTCTTGAAGTTCAATCCTTACACTAACACAGAGCTCAAAGTGCAGGAAGGTAATTCTGGAGATGGACAACAAGTTCCAGCTCTTCTTCTAGGCATCAGGAGAGAAAGACATCTGCAAAGTGGCAGTGTTTTAATACAGGATGAAGGGATTTGCTGTGTATTTTATTGAGGGACATATGATGAGTCCATGATTATGTTCTTTAAAGGAATTTTTCTTCATAAGAATATTTTAATTGTTGACACATAGGATCCGTAAGCCATGACTGGTCAGAATATAGAGAGAGATACACAAGAGAGAGACTTTGTAGGAAACTAGTACTGAATGAAGAAAAAGCAAAACCTTATTTTTAGCCAGTAAGAGAATTTCTTTCTTTGTTACTTGGCTGTTTTGTCCTTTTGGAAAGAGAGAGTGTTTGTTCAGATATTTTGCGTCAGGTATTGTCTATATACTCCCTGACTTTGATCTGGGCTGATGGACAGTTAGCTGCCAAATGACAATTAGATGGCAGGACTGACCCAAACAAAAGCTCAAGAGAAAAAGGGGTGCAGGCTAGCAAACAGGATGGAAATCTTTAAGATCTATGAGGAGATGTTTGTTTTTTTCTTTCCTGCTCTGAGCTGTACGTTTCAGGCAAAGAGAAAATACAGCTTGTCTGTTCATGCAGCAATAGAAAAAAAACCTGAAAAGGGGAGGACACTGAAGATAACTGGATGGAAAAGCTGCTGGAAGCTTATTATTTTTGAGTGGCTATCTGATTGAAGCTATTTATATATGATAAATTATATGCTTCACAGAAGAAGAGTGCTAAATAGTCAAGATGCAGCTGGAAAAAAAATGTCAAACTTCAGGCAAAAGTTTGAAAAGAAGGTGATAGAAGTGTTGGGAGAGATGATTATACTCCACCAACTTTTTGAAGACAGCCTAGAGAGAAGGATTGTAGATAACAAGAGGATACATGAAAGACAACAGAACAACAACAGCGAAATAAAAGCTGAATTAAGAAGTGCATTCTTTTCTA